ATCGCCCGTGGTTTCATCAACGGAGCCGCTGGTCGGGCAGCAATTTGAAGTAGCTTGTTCATATTAGCGCTCCCGCCAGGCGGAGGGGTGCTAAAGGCGGGCATCTTGGATTCTAGGACATCCTTGTAACTTCTTGGTTGCGCGTAGCTTTTGACAGGCATGTACGCCTGCTGCTCCGGTTTGTTCACGAAAATGAAGACTTGGACACGTTGCTCCAGCTCCTTTTTTGATATTTTATCCTGTATGAGCCAGCTATACACCGTTCGAGCGAGGCGGAGCTTGTCATCGCGGATGGTGTAGTCCCATCGGTCTGCAAAACGGCCAGAGCGCTCCAATGTCTTAGCAGGGGGGCTGTCAGTCCAATTCGCCTGTTGATTGCATTGATACGGCTTTCGAATTCTTCAAGCCGACGTTGCTGCGCAAGATCATGAATACGAACCACCATCTGGAAAATGTACTCTGGTGGTGCTTCCGATCGCAGTAGTTCTTGTAGCTTGTAGAAGGAGGCACGGCCATCGCCGTTTTCACCTTGAGCCTCGTTCCTTTGGGTGGGAAACTAGGCTTGGCGGCCCTCTGGTGCTGTTTAGCGTCTTTTGAGCTTGGACCCTTTCCATTGTTGCCAACTCGGGATCTTGGACTCACACCTTCGTTTCGCGCCTTCTGTCGAGCGCTGCCCTTGCGTCCTGGTGTCTTGGTGGTCCACCCGGCTTCCGATTTATCCGCTGGGGAGGCCTCTGCCACTCCGGGAGCCACTCCGCCTCCTTCCAGCGGGGCCACAGGAGCCGTCACTGCCTTCTCCATCTTGGGACTTCCAGTTCTCGAGGAGGAAGTTACGGGGCGTTCACCTGGGTGTATTGACACGTCCGGTGGTCGGTCTTGGTGGTCCATAGTAGGTTGAGCTTGTAGCTTGACTGATTCCAGGGTTTAGTGACCCTGGCCACGTGCCTCGGGAGAATATTTTTATCTGTTGCTAATTTACTGGTTCATCTGTTGCGGGCACAGCGGTCTGCTACGGATTTATTCTGCGATAGTCATTCCTTAACTTTGCAAGCAGCTTGAGTTATTGCTGCATGCAGATGATAGCTTGCCGTTCCCCTTAGAGGCCAACGAGGACTGTGACTTCTGGCGCAGGCGTGCTACGACATCAGCAGTACAGGTATGGCAAGTCAACGTCGCCACGGGTGCGCTCTTGACGTCCAAGCCTATCGCGAAGAGTGTGTGACCTATTTTAAAGCGCATGAGGTGCTACTGGACTAATTGGTGCCAGGGATGAGTTACAGCTTCTTCAGTGTTTCCAAGGATTTAACAGCAGACCACGCGCTTACGGGTCGATCCACGAGGTGAAGGATCACTGCGGTGAGCGTCACGTTGTCCTCCTAGTCATTGTGTGAGTCATAACGATCAGAGCGGTCATAACGACCCCCATAGCCATCATCACAGGAAGAACGGCCTTGGTCGTAAGAGCGGTAGCCCTGAGGGTCGAATTTGTCATAGCCATAGCCCCAATTGTAGTAATGAGAGCCGTTGTGTCCGTGGTAGCCCCGATCGCGCGCGTACTTAAGTATGCGTGAAGTCATCGGACGGAGGTGTCGACTCACGTCCGCTGGGTAGTACGATGTAGTGCACGTGGCCACTGAGAGTGACATTAACGGAACACGAGCATCCGTCGGCCACGCCGACAACAGCTTCGGAGCTGCGAGTGGCTACAGTACCGTAGATGTCACCGCTGCCCTTCGTCTAAGTTACGGGGTTGCACTATGTAGTTCACTCCAGTCTGCGGGACTTTAGGATCTGCTCTCGTCATCCACTGTCGCTCTCGATCTCCATACTCTCTTTATCCGCATAGATTTTTGTTTGAGCTAAAACTCATATTACAGCGCCAAACGGTTAAGTATGCTTGCTACTAGACTGCAGGCAGCATCCAGGAGACCGGCTCCATGATCACTAGGTTCGATGAGGAAGCGAAGTACGACTTGTACTACCGAGTACTTCGGCGTGTTTGGAGCGTGGGCACAACAGACTGGAGACCACGCAACTATTATTTATCTTAGTCACATGCACAGGTAAGCAAGCTCATCTCGCGTTCATGTGTACAGGTGAACGTGGCACAACCATCTAAATCAAGATCCAGCGCAATCCAAACTTGGCCCAGTCCGAGGCGGATCACAAGTCCGCGCCCGAAGAGGGGTTGCCTGCACCAGAGCAACAGTAATTCGAGTAAGAAGCAGTGCATGTAGAGCGAGGCGCAATAGATCCGATGCCTGAAGACGTTGAGGTGATGCGGGACTGTACAGGAGCCGACGCCAGACGCGGAAAATGTGCAGCGTAGCATCTTTTGGAGCTGGAGGACGGTGTTATGACCTTCAAGTAATAAATCTACTGCTATGACCATCCTACTTTCACATAGCCTTCGCGAAATTCATGCGAGCCCTTTAAAAGAATCCTATCAAGCATCGACCGCCTTCGGATAAATAGCAGGGGTGCTCTTACTCGATGCATAAGCTCAACAAGTACTCACATAGGCAACAGATATACCGAGTCAACTCGACATGTAATCTGTTGCAGGATTTCTGTACCGAAAACCTGTTGCTTTCGTCCCCTACACCACGCAACAGATAAACCGACTCGGGCAACAGATTTTCCGCTGATTTGCCCGCAACAGATGAACCAGTAAATTAGCAACAGATAATAATTACTCCCCACGGGCCTCTCCACACGTAGAGTCTTGCTTGCTGAGATCTTTACCGAGCGCGGCCGGAGGGTCGCTTGTTCTCGCCGGAGATCTTTTGAGAGTTGGATCACCCTCGTCTAGATCCAGTGGGAAGCAAGTCACAATCCACCGCACAAAGTCGAGATCTCCGTGCACCGCCGCCTGCACCAATGCGTACGCGCCAATATCTTCACTTACATCTTCATTGTTGGTGAGCACGTACCGCAGAATTTCTAACTGCGTTCTCCAATTTTCTTTCGGGGAGTCGACAATCTGCCAAATCTTTTCTGTAACCGTGAGGTTTACATCGAATCCATTCGCTAGGACCCACTTGACCTGCTTTAGGTTGTTCTGCTCCACAGCACTTTGCAGCAGGACCTCATTCCATTCTTTGAAGCCGTCAGTAATGTTAACGCGACTGAAAAGCCACCGCACAAGCTCCCAGTGCCCATTTTCCGCTGCAGCGTCTAGGGCCATTTTGCTCCACTTTTTAATCTTGTGCGTTGAAAGAGCTGCCAAGTACTGCAAAAGGGTGAGCTGGCCCGCTCGAGCAGCTTCGACCACGACTTCCTTCGTTATCAAACAGTCGGAAGAATGGCTAATAACCACTGAACCATATCGAGATCTCCAAGGGATGCAGTTTGGGCTAGCGCTTTAGAAAACGACCAACGGCTGTAGTGAGCGTCCGCCAGGAGAAGCTTTGCGACTGTCCAGTGATTGTTCTTTTGATCCCGAAGGCTTCGCATCCACACTAAATTCAGCAATGACAGCGATGCGGCAGGACTCGATCAGGCAGTCTGAAATGAGGGAGGCGATATCATCCGACGCGCTGGACGGGACCTTTTCGCCCACGATAGCAGTGATCAGCGTGAGCTGCGTCATGGCAGCTTGGGAATGAAGTTGTCTCGGGCTGAAGTTTTCAGACAATGAGATTTTCTTAACGTTAGATAAGAAACATCAATCACTTGGTTTTATTACGGTGCAAAAGATATATTATATCTACTTGCACTAGTAAAAATTTTAAAAAATTATCACACCTATAATTATTCATTATGCCCACCCCGCTCATCTCACAGTTCCATATTTCCCTCCGCCTTCCATCCGATGCTCATTCCGGATTCTTCCTTCTCGCTGGCGAATGGCGACTGCAGAGCTCACGATCGTCGATGCACGCCCAGCTCGATGGCGCCTTCCCCGACGTCGCCTCGACCGTCACATCAGACTTGCTCATATCGGATATGCCGCTTTCCCGCGCGTGCAAGTTTGGGTCCGTCGCCCTCCTGGATGTGATATGACAACGCAGTCTTCGGCCGACAAGTTTCTGGGGTGTGGCGAAACTCCTGCACTGCGAGAACGAGTTCGACTATAAAGACTGGGAGTTCTTCAAGACGTTGGCCGAGGCGGTGCGTCAAGCGGCCCCAAAGCTGGTCAAATGGGTCTTGACCTATTTTTCGGGTCGGGTCAGTCCACGGATCATGGAGGCCGCTGCTCGCGGCCGGACACTTGAACTTGTTGAAGATGTTCGAGCGAGACAGCAAGATCCGATGGCACCAGTCTGTGCTCAACGAAGCTGCGCGGGGGCGTCACTGGACTTTGGTGCACTGGTTTCGCCAAAATTCGGCAAGCTCGATGAAAGAAAGAGCCCAAAATCGAGCACTGGCGGCCATCGCATTCGAGCAAAGCAACCTGGCAGAGCTCAAATGGGCAATTGCCAATGGGTTCGGCGTGCGCGATTTGGGCTTTTGGAACGGGGTTGAGGCAGATTGGGCACTTCACACGAAAGTGCTTCGGTACGTAGTGGAGAAGGGAGTTGGTGACGTTCAAAGGATCGTCGGGCGTGCAGTCGAGCACGCGGCACAATTTGGGGATCTCGAAATGGTCCAGTGGCTGGTGTTGCACCCAAATACGGTGGCTGGAAATGTGCTGATGGGGGACGAGCTCAGCTCCGTCGCGAGTATCGCAGCTGGAGAAGGTCACGTCGCGGTGGTACAGTGGCTGATGGCGCATATGGAAGAGGTGGTGGATTTAGGACGATGCAACTTGTCGGTAGTGATGTTCGAAGCGGCGAGAAATGGGCGACTGGAGGTGGTTCGGTGGTTGTATGAGGAATTCTCCCACCGCCCCAATGTTCACCTCTTTCGTGAAACGTACCGAGGTTTCAATGATGACCCCGTTCCAGTTACTGCTATGGACGCCGCTGCTACTAATGGGCACGTCGAAGTGCTGGAGCTATTGAACAAAAGCAAGACTTCGCCACGCAAGAAGAAAGGCAAGAAGAAACGCGGAAAAGCTGGGAGTCAACGCGGTCAAATCCCTCGTTGCACTGCTGCGGCCACGGATGCTGCTGCTGCGAACGGGCATCTGGATGCTGTGAAGTGGCTACACGCGCACCGAACTGAGGGCTGTACCTCAGCAGCGATGGATCGCGCGGCAGCGAACGGACATCTAGAGGTGGTCAAGTGGCTGCACCACAACCGATACGAAGGCTGCACCACTGCTGCGATCGATGTGGCAGCGAGTAGACGCTACCACGACTGTCGAGCGCACAAACTCACACCAACTTGCTGCGAAGCTCCAGAATCATTTTGCGAGCGACAACTAGCCGTTGTCCAGTGGCTGGCTACGAATCGCTCGGAAGGATGGACTACTGCCGCCATGGATGGCGCCGCGGCGAACGGCAACTTACCACTGCTGCGTTGGCTGCACAAGAATACGGAGGCGACTTGCACGAAGGACGCGATGGATTCAGCCGCACGCTTGGGGCGACTGGATATTGCCAAGTGGCTGCATGAGCACCGCTCGGAGGGCTGCTCGACCTGGGCTGTCGATTGGGCGGCCACTGAAGGACACTTTGGCGTGTTGAAATAGCTATGTGCGAATCGATCGGAGGGGGGAACGGCCCAGGCGGTGGATGGGGCAGCAGGCAATGACCACTTGCGCGTGGTGCAATGGCTGCATGAACGCGGCGCTCCGAATTTTAAGGCGGCTTTAGCAGCGATGATGGACTGCCACTATGAGGTGTTGTTCTTCTTGAATGCACAAAAGGACTCTGATGAAGACGCTGACTGTGGTGGAAGGGAGGACTTTGAAGATGAACAAAAGGACAGCAGCGATGAAGACGAGGATTAGGACGATGGTAAAGAGGGCTGGGATGAGCGAGAGAGGCCAACAGGGATGCCGTATAATATGCTACCTGACTTCAGAACCAGGGCCGTCGCGATATGTTGTTCCCCAAGTTCACAAAAAAAAGTTGTAAGCCCTCCAGCTTCTTCCAATGCTTGTATTTTTGTACGGTACAAACCTCGTCAAGCAACTAAGTATCGATTCAACCGAGTTTACGTTTCGATGAAAAATGCTATCGGAGCCCGGCAAATAATGAAAAAAATCCTCGTATGATTTCCAATTCGCAGTGAGTTGGTCCACGTGTCGTCTTGGACTTCATACAACCCACTTCAAGTTCGTGACATCTGTGTCGCCTCTGTGGAGCTTTCTTCGGGATAGTTCAAACGTAACCACTGCACCACTTCCGAATGACCGTATGCTAGAGCTAAAGCCATAGCATCCGTCGAGCATCCCTCAGAACGCGCTGCATGAAGCCACTTAACTACATCGAGGTGCCCGTTAGCAGCAGCTACATCCATAGCAGTAGTATCACATCTTAAGGCCTGGCAGTATCGCGAGTTCGTCTGTGCTTCGGCAGCATCCGCTTCGTGCAAGTATTGTAGCACCTCAAGTCTTGAGGCTCAAGATGCCCCCCAGAGGCTGCGGCTTTCATGGCGGTATAAGTATATGGTCCAGGAAAGGCATCCGGGTTCGTTTCCTCATCCTGAAAGAGATCGACCCTTGGGTTGCATTTGTAGGTATTGTAAGGTTCTGGTTGTGCTTGTTGTGTTGCGAGTAAAATGGAAACTGAATTGATGTCTTTGTCTGTTTGCTGCTATCCATCTGCCCGAGGGCGCCCTCATGGCGCTCGGTCCTAAACATGAAGTGGTTGGCTGAGGCGTGCCGGAGCAGGAGCTTGCGCAACCGGTGAGTATGCAGACGACGACTTGGGCTCTCTGCATGCGGACTCAACTGATGATGTGGTTGTGTTCTGCTCTTGCACGTGCAGATCATTACACTCCCCCCGACTTGAGCGAGTCCCGGCACCTTAAACGTTGAAGTCGCCGAAGTTGAAGTTGGTAGTACCGTAGACCCTCGATGTAACGAGCAGTACCGTGAAAACTCTGTTCAAGAGGATTCCACTAGGCCCGTGCCACTCGATTGCGTTGGCGAAGATCTTTTAGCAGCGCTTACCAGTGGCTGACGTGTTTGATGTCGCGCTCGCGTTCCCACGTGTTCTCATGGCGAGGGAGCCCGTGCCACTAGACCAAGTACTCAGGTTGGCGGTTGAAGATGCGCTTCTTGATCAGAGCTTCGACAACGTGTAGTGGCTCCCCATCGTCGTCGAAAATCACGGGAGTCGACTTCGGGATCACACAGTCGACGAAGCGATCAGGGTTGTTGTTGTATACCTTGAGCTTGTCGATGTTGAAGCGTGGGCTGATGTGCTTCAAGTTGGCTGGTAGATCCAGCAGCGCGACGTTGCCGTGAAGTTCCAGGATCGGGTACGGACCGATGAAGCGCGGGATGAACTTCCGTGAGCGAAGCTTCGTTTCCGCGGTGGCGTGCGAGATGTTCAGGTCCTGCGTCGACAGCAAGGCTAGATCACCGACCTTGAATGGGTTTGCTGCACGACGCCGGTCGTAGAACTTCTTTTGAGCCTCTTGCGCATCCAACATATTCTTCCGAGCACGTTCGATCACCTCTTGACGATGCTGAACAAATCGAGACGCGTACTCCACACGAGACCTCGCCACCGGCTGATCGCTCTCCACACTACCCAATGGGTTCTTAGGGTGACGACCGGTGTCGACGAAGAAGGGCGACAGCTTCGACGAGCTGGACATCGGTGTTGCGTGCGCATACTCAATCATGGGCAGGTGCTCATTTCAGTCGTTGCCATGGTACGAAACAGAGCATCGCAACGAGTCCTCGAGAGTCCGATTCTGACGCTCAGTTTGGCCATCGGCCTGCGCTCGGTGGGCAGTCGTCATCGCTGTCTTGATCTTCATCAGCTGTACCAGTCCTTTCCAACTTCGTAGGCTGTCGTTTCTCTTCAAATAGATCAACCGCGAATCCTTTCGTACTCTTCCGACGGACGACCGGACTTCCACAGCGGCTTGAAGACTGAATCTTTACTGTATGCCTTCTGAAACGCCCGCTTCGTTTGGTTATCCAGTTGGAGTGAGCTTATCACCGTGCTGTCCTCCATCGATGCTGCGTTCAATCTCATACGCCACTGTGCCGTGCCTACACCATGTGCCCTTGCGGCTGGCTGTTTAACGGCAAGCATCACGGCTTGATCGCGAGTCAGTATGCTTTGGAGCTTCTCCGTAGCCTTGGTACGACGCGATACCGCGTCGCGAATGTTCGTGCATGTCGGCGACGTCAAACACGCCGTACACACTGCCAGCGGCTCGGGTTCGGTTTCACCAGCCTCCGGTTCCTCCCCCGGACTTGAAGAAGCATCAGGGGGCGCGATAACGCGTCGGCGACGACATTCAAAGCGCCTGGACGATGATGCAGCGTGAACTGGAAGGACGCAAAAAAGTCCCGCCAGCGAGCCAGGCGACCAGACAGGCGGGGATGATGTAGAAACCACTTGTACGCCGAGTTGTCCGTGTACACATCAAACGAGACTCCATGGAGGTAATGGCGCCAACGGGTGAGCGCTTGTTTGATCGCAAAGAGTTCCTTCTCGTGAACAGACCAGTTCAGCTCATGCGGACCAAGCTTCTTGCTGAAAAATGTCACGGGGATATCATTGCCGCCATGCAGCTGAGAGAGGACTCCACCAATGCACGCGTGACTAGCATCCGTTGTCACAATGAACGGCTTGTCAAAGTCTGGCAGACGTAGTACCGGTGCGTGCTGGAGCGCAAGCTTGATGGAATTGAAAGCCTGGCACTGACCGTCATCCCATACCCACGCCACATCTTTCTTGACCAAAGAGCTCAGCGGAAGTACCAGTGTCGCAAACTGATGAATGAAGCGACGATAATATCCGGCGAGGCCCAAGAAGCGCTGTAGATCCTTGATGTTGCTGGGCTCTGTCCAATCGGCGATGGCTCGAGTCTTGCGAGCGTTCACGTGCAAGCCATCAGCTGAGATGGTGTGGCTAAGGAAGTCGACCGAAGCTTGACCGAAGTCGCACTTGTCCGGACGAGCGTAAAGCTTGTGAGCCCGAAGGATTTCACAGACTTGCCGTAAGTGCTCGACGTGATCGGCCATCGACCGCGAGAAGATGCAGATGTCGTCCAGATAAACGACCACGAACAGTAGATGGCTCAGCAGCTTGCGCATCAGGCGCGTCCATGTGCCCGGCATGCCGGCCAGGCCCATAGGCGCCACGTTCCAATGATATATCTCATGGTTTGTCCTGAATGCCGTGTACTGTTTGGACGTCGGAGACATACGCATCTGGTGGTATCCACTGGCGAGGTCGAGAATCGAGAAGATCACTGCTCCCACCATCCGATCAAAGAGCTGCTCGATGTGCGGCAGCGGTATCTTGGCAACCTCTGAGGCCGCATTCACCAAGCGATAGTCAATGACCCATCGAATGGGCATGTGCGGATTGTTCGAATGTAGCCACTCCAAGCGTGATGGGAATTTGCCAGTCGCGGGATCCTTTTTGGGCACGCCAAAGATGTTTGATACCCATGGGGAGTCCGACACTTCGATCCAGTTCTTCTTCAGCAGCTCTGCCACAAAGGTGTCCAATGCCTCCTGCTCAACCTTCGAGAGACGGAAGGGGGCGCGGTTGCTGGGCGTCGCACCTGGTTTCAAGACCACTTCGTGCTCGATTGAGCGGCTCGGTGGTAATCCAGGCGGCAACTCTGACGGAAAGACATCTGCGAACTCGTCAAGTACTGCTTGAAGCTGCGACGGCACGGACTTCACCTTGGGCGACGACTTCACCGTGACATTATACAGTTCGGCGTACTCGTCGGCCTTCACCTTTGTCTCAAACTCTGCCGCCGAGAGGACACACAACGACGATGCCTCCGTGTCGTCATCGCCTTCGTTGTCAAAGATGCGTGGCAATGGATGACATTCTAGCGCTGTTATCGAGCTTGGCCCCAAAGGCATACTGAAGTAGCCTGCCTTTACACGAGCGTCAAGCTGCTGCCGCAGATTCGGGGGCAGGGGGTGCTGAAGGAACTCAGGTTCCACTTCCACTGAAGCCACTGACGGTCCCGCTACCTCGAGACTGTCGTTCACCGAACTGAAATCATGCACTTAGCGCTTGTTGGGGAACCGCATCACTCCGGTTTGCCAGTCGATAACCGGGTGAACTGCACCAGCCATGGAAGCCCGAGGATCACGTCTTGATTTGTCGACACTTCCCACTCAATGAGGGAAACTCCGTTGAAGTCTCTGCCAGCAAAGCTGATAGTCTCCAAACATTGTTGCGCCGTACGGGCCGGCGTTGTCGTACCGTAAAAGCGCTCCGCCGTGACCTTGGTGGACTCAACGCAGTTTTGGGCGAGGCCAGGGCGCACAATGTTGCGCTCTGCACCGCTGTCGATCAAGATTCGCACTGCCTGCCCGTTCATCACCCCCTCGAATCGCAACAGTTCACGATTGGGTGACGGCTCGGTGGCGATGGACACCATGTTCAACTGCAAGCTGTCAATGACCTCGACGTGGTCGTCACGGCTGTCTACGTAGTCGTCTTCGTCTTCGTCGGATACGTCGTCTTCGACATTGCGGCGGAACGAGCCCTGGTTAGCGCGGAAGGACCCGCGCCCTTGTGGAGGACGAGATACACCCTGGGGGTTGTTGCGCGCTGGCCTCTTTAGACACGTGGCCAGACGATGCCCGGGTTCCTTGCAGTAGAAGCACAGATTACTGCGCAGACACTCGTCGCGAGAAACTAAGCGCGAGCTTCCAATCTCCATCGGTGTCGGCTCCTCGATGCGATGTAACGAATGTTGAAGGCGTTGGCCACCTTGACCTCCGCGGTTCGCATGGGTTCGACGCGATTCTACAGCGTGCGTTCGGTCGTACATCAGTGCAAATGAAATCGCGTCCGTCGTGTTTCGGAACTGGCGCAGCTTGACCTCTTGCCTGATCTCTACGACCAACCCTTTCTGAAAATGCATGACCTTGTCGATATCGCTCATGTCCTCTACCTTGCAGATGATGTGCCGGAAGGCCGACACGTAATCTTCGAGGCAGGCGAAGTTGTTCTGGCGTAGGCGTAGGAGCTGGTCGCGCAGGTGCTCTTGGCGATCGGGGGTCGTGAACTCACTGGTCAGCAGCTCCTCGAACTGCGAGACCGAGTGCAGGAAGTTCCCGTCGTGGGAGACGTACTCGCGGTACCACGCTGCAGCTGGCCCCTTCAAGTTCGCCATCAAGAGTGACAGGGGGCGCTGCTGCGGTGAGTCGGCGCCGTACTTGATGTTCTTCGACTCAAAGTAGAGTTTGGCACTGAAGAGGTTGTCCGCGACGTCGTCGTCCTTGGTGCCGGAGAACTTCGGCATGGAGATGCCCTCGGCACGGTACTCGCGCGTGCCTTGAGAAGTAGAGTCGGGCGACGGTGGTTGCTGCTGCTGCTGCGAGGCAGACTGCTGCTGCTGTTGCTGTTGTAGTGTCGCCGCCATCTGGCGCTGCAGGTCCGCTGTCTGCGCCATGAACTGCTGTTGCTCGCGCATCATTGCCGCGAGCGAGGCGAACATCTGCTGCACGCTGTCCGCGTGCTGCATCGCTGCTTCATCCATGTTTGCGCCAACGCTAGCCACGTCGTCAATAGATGGCTGGGGCGCGCAAGCTCCTCAGTCAAACAAATCAAAGTTTGAAGTCGCAGGCACTCCCTCGAGCGCTGCTTCCGACAATGTCTGCAAGCCACAACGAAGTCACAGACGCTCGACCGGGAGCTCTGCTTCCGACAAGTACCAACCACTTGCTCCAGTGTCCCGAAGGAAGCAACTGGTGCAATTCCGTCCGGCGCTAGCTCGAGCCCGCCTCGGAGCACAAAGACTCCTACTACTAAACTCGTAACGGCCACCGACGCAGATGTTACACTCGGCTGCGCACTGTTTGCAAGTGACAGCCGAGGCGACAAGCGGAAGGTCGAGGTGGGTGCCGCGTATGGACACGCGGAAGTGATTGGGCTAAATGCACCAATGAGATGTCGACACGAAGTGACGTGTGACAATGTGCGTCGCCACTCCTCCCCCAGAAAGAAAAGGAGCGAGCTCGGCGAAAATGGAGGCCCCGTCGGCGACGAGCGGACAAGGCTGCGGACGAGGTCACGCACGCGGCGCACCCGGAGAAGTTGAACGGCGAGAGGTACAGATACAGCACACCGAAAAACGGATGCGAGGAAGACGGCGTGCGCAACGGCAACGCGGGACGGACGAGGCTGGACGGCGAGCACACCGGCGACGGCTTGGCGCTGGACGATGTTGCGGGCAGTAGTGGGAGGGATGCCGTTGCAGTCAGCAACCAGCACCCAGTCACGCCCTTCTCGGTGTGCATCGAGCACACGCGTGCGGGCCGCAAGCCCATGCTTCGGCTCTTGGGGCATGTTGCCGGCGGAGACAGTCAGTTACTGACCAGTGATTTGAGTTTGCTCTGCACTAAATCCACATTACTCTAAATACTAATTTCAGAAATTATTTTCCGATTTTTGGATGTTACTTAAGTTACTTCACACCGTTTTGCTTTACACTGCTGCCAACTTGGATTGGCAAAGGTGTACTGCACGTGGCAATTCACACAAACCTTGATGCAGGCGGTGGAGAGAGCAGATCTGTGCATGGTGCAGTGGCTGTTGAACACTTTCCCGAATTATTCAATTGCCCATGAAATAGTGACGGAATGTGCAAGTCGCGGGGATTTGGGAACTTTGCAAGTACTGGAGGGCAGACGACGGGGCTCGATCGAGTGGTGTAATGCTAGTATTGCTGCAGCTGCGAAAGGAAATCACTGGGATGTGGTGCAGTGGCTGCACGAAAGGACTAAGAGTCTTGCGGAGATAAAAATGCTGGACGAAGAAGTGGTGAACGCTGCGTTCGTTCAGAATAATTTGGAGCAAGCGAAGTGGGCAATCTCGCGCGGTTATGGGGTGGGGGAGCTGAGCTTCACAGAGTGCTCGGAAGTGGAGTGGGAGATTCGATCTGAGATAATTCGGTTCATATTGGAGGGGAATTACGGCAACACAGTGCGAATCGCCTGCTCCGCACTGAAACAAGCAGATATTGGGGACGTGAACTTTGTCAAGTGGCTGCTGACTCTCTTCGAGATCAAAAATGCAGCAGCGGTGGGTGAAGCAATAACTGCTGCCAGTGCTCGAGGTCACTTTGCAGTGGTGAAGACGCTGCTATTATACGCGCGATCGGTTGAACTGTCCTATGACAGATCTGAGGCCATGTTTGCCGCAGCTAGACATGGAAAGCTGGAGATGGTGCAGTGGTTGTTCACGCGCCATCCTTTAGAACGAGCCTCGGATCTATTTCACGAGCAATCGCGTGGTAAAAGTGCTGACTGTCCGACAACAACTACTGCTATGGATGTTGCGGCTGAGTATGGGCATCTGGAGGTGCTTGCATTCCTGCAGACCGTTGATCTTTTTGCGGGGAAGCGACGGAAAGTTGGGGGTCAGGAAGTTTACTTTCAGCTCGGTCATTTGCAGTGCACAACGAATGCGATGGACACTGCAGCTGCAAATGGTCATTTGACGGTAGTGAAATAGCTACACAAGCATCGCACGGAAGGTTGCACAACAGCCGCCATGGACCTTGCTGCAACTAACGCGCACCTGCTCGTTGTGCAGTGGCTTCATCGAAATCGTGCCGAGGGGTGTACGGTGTCTGCGCTGAGTCAAGCAGCACACAATGGACATCAAGAGATAGTGCAGTTCTTGCACTTGAATCGGTCGGAAGGGTGTACAAGTGCAGCGATGGCCAGCGCAGCTACAGCGCGCTTTCACGTTGGGACCAACTGCCGCCCTGAGCTTTCGCATTGCTGTGCGGGCGTGGGGAATCGGAAGTTCTACGACAAACGGCTCGTTATCCTCCTGTGGCTGCGATCTCGCACATCCGTAGACTGCACACCTGCAGCTATGGATGCCGCCGCTGCAAACGGGAATCTGGAGATGTTACAGTGGCTGCACGATAAGTCAACTGCAGGTTGCACAACACAAGCAGTGGACTCTGCGGCTCGGATCGGGCGGTTGGACATTGTTCAATGGCTGCACAAGAATCGATGGGAGGGCTGCACAACTGAAGCGATGGATGGGTCTGGTCATTTGGGAACCGTGAAATGGCTTTACAGTAATCGGTCCGAGGGGTGCACTCCCTCAGCTATGGACGGAGCCGCAGCGCGAGGGCATTTTTCGGTCGTGAAGTGGCTGTTTTTCGACTGCGCTGGTGTTCGGGCGAAGTCAGCTATCGTCTACGCGATTTTGGGCGGGAATTTCGAGATTGCGCTTTTCCTTCACGCACACTACCCCTGTGACTTTAATATCGAGTGGCTATGGAAGATGAAGGGACTATTAAAGAGCAAGCCGCACGCAAACTCGTCTTGGCGGGATATTGAGGCGTGGATGGAGGAAACATTTTAGGTGATGACCAAAGCAACACGCTTGAACTAAAAACAAATCCTTCTTCTTCACAAGACAAACTTTGTAGCAGCAACAAAACATTCTAGTCGACGGTGATACCAAACGCGGCTCTATTCTGGCTGGTTGCTTGCATGCCCAATTTTATTTCGCTTTTGTAAAGAAGGTGGGTATGGGATCTTGGATCCCTCCGCTCCAGGACGCTTCCGAACGATTACTGCAGCGCGACGAGGTGTGCTTGCGCTGTAGTTTGTGTCACATGGTGAGGACTTAGGCGCGTATCGACGGACTGAGTTTTGTGTGGTTTTCTGGTTAGACTCCGAACGGCGGGTACTGCTTACGCCGGGTACTGGCGCTCTCTTTACTGCAGCTAGTAGTCGCGTAGCTTCCATTTCACGGCGCTGCGCTTCCTTTACCGCATTGCTCAGATCTGCGTTTTCGGCGGCTAACGAGTTGATCTAAGGCAAAATACAGCGGCAACAACAACAAACAGAAAAAAAACAATCGTTTGACGTCAGTCGCATTCCCATTCATATAATAATACTCGGCACATGGGTTTTAGAATTACGCGTACCTTTGCATCAAGCCGAAGTGTTTTCTTTTCAGCACGTGCCGCTCTCGCTTGCAGCTTTTGGTTATCCGCCTCAGCCAATGCCAGAGCTGTTTTCGTGGTGTCCAACTCGCGCTGGAGCCGTTCGGCAACGTGCTGCTGTTCCGCCATCCGTGCTCGACTGATGGATGCCCAGTCACGCGCGGACTCGAGTTGGGCCACGTCACGTCTGGCCCCCTGGAGCGCATTCTCGAGGTTCTCGATCGTGGCTCGACTTTCACGGTACTTGGCCTTCGCCTGCCATTGGCAAGACAACCAAAATAAGTGTGAAGGTTTGCAGGTGAAGACAGGTACCCTGCTTTGGTTGATCGACCATATTACGTACGCGGTTGGTGTCCTTGACGAGGGAGACCACCATGCGGTGCACCAGGTTGCTGGGCATGGACGCAAGTAGCGCGGCTGCAACGACACATCCATGTCAGAGATCAACCGCTCTGGAAGCATCAAGTACAGCTAAGTGATAGATCAGCGACCTTCCGCCTCTGGGAACGCCACGATCTTCTCCATGCAGATGGACTCGAAGTGCTTCGTCACGAGCCGGAGACATCTACAGACATTGGAGGATAACAGTTAATACTGCACACGCATCTCAATTGCAATACCATGCTGCCTTTACTTACAGATCCGCGAGCGGCGGCACCTGCCCCCTCCTAATTGGCGTGCTCCGCTGCTTGTCTCGCTCCTCGTCCTCGTCCTCGAGGGTCTGCCGCAGCGCTCGACAGCGCGGCACGTGGATGGGCAGCGAGGCGCTCCCGAAGCCCTGGTGGCAGTGCGGACACGTGGCCACGCGCCTCCGCTGCGCGCGCTCCGACAGGGCCCCGCCGCTCACCTGCAGCGCCGCCAGCGCCCGCACATCTTCCTCGTCCATGGGCATCACAGTTCCGTACGACTTCTCGCGATTCTAGGATTCATGGCTGTTCGGGATTGGATGAAAACAGGATGAACCAATCATCGGCGTTCTTCAAGTTCTTCAAGTTGTTTCAAGGGCACTTCGACGAAGTTGCCGGCCATGGCGCAGCTCAAGGTCGTGGCGCTTGTCGTGCGCTGGGGGCTCGCCAGCGCCAACGCGCGCGACGATGTGTCGTCCGCCATTTCGGACCTGCTGACCGCCGACCTGTCGATGGCTCGGGCCTGCGAGTTGAGCCACGTCGGCTCCGTCGCGTTGCTGGATCTGGTCTGGATGAGGAGCCTCCGAGACGCGGAAACCAGTCGCTGGACGGTGGCCAAACTGCTCCAGAGCGAGCGCCACTACTACCGATGGGAGTTCAGTCAGGCGCTGCAGCAGGCGGTCCGTCGGGATGATTTTGTGATGACGCGGTGGATGCTGCAGCACTTTTCCGGCTGTCTGGTCATGAAAGATGTGGTGGAGGAAGCTGCGCGGAGAGGGGGCTAGCCATGCTGCAATTTCTGGAGAGCGATGGCAGTTGAAGGGGTTCAGTGGAGTGGGTCGAGTCTTAATGAAGCTGCGGAGCATGGTCACTGGAGTGTTGTGCGATGGCTGTCGGAGCGGGTGAAGTGGACCCCAGAGCAGAAAAAGTGGAACTCCACCTTGGTCAGCAGCGCTATCGAGCAGAACAAGCTGGAGCAAGTAGTGTGGGCGGTGGCATCGGGTTATGGCGTTGGAATCCACTATTTTCCGAAGTGTCCGGGGGCAGAGTGGCCATTACGTACGGAAATTATACGCTACTTGGTGAAAGAATTAAAAGGCGAGAAGGTGACGTGGGGTGCATTAGAACAAGCAGCGGAGGTCGGGGATCTTCCTCTAGTCAAGTGGCTGACTGTGCGTCACGTCGATCGATCGGATCTCCCTCCGGCCGCTTTTGCCAGTGCTTTGCAATACGCTGCTCGTGGTGGCCATGTGCGCATACTGCAGTGGCTCTTGGGGTATATCACAGGTGCCTATAGCATTGCAGTTGATATATCTAGGGTCATGCTCGCCGCTGTAGCGAGTGGGAAGGTTGCTGCGGTTCAATGGCTGTGCGAACAGTACACCGATGATTCGGGCGCTAGTTTGTTCGACTATCGGCACACAACTTTTGCTTCGGCGGTGGATGCAGCAGCTTCGAATGGGCATCTATCTGTACTTCAGTACCTACACGGAGCACACGAAGTGAGCTGTAAACAACGTAGGACCCAGGAAGGAAGCGCGCCGGCCGATGCATCTTCCGATCTTATCTCTTCCCAGCGAGTTATGGATAACGCCGCCAGGAATGGTTATCTCGATGTTGTCAAGTGGCTCCACGCTCATCGTTACGAGGGGTGCACGACGGAGGCCATGGATGCTGCTGCTGCAAATGGACACTTGAAGGTCGTTCAGTGGTTGCATCGGAACCGCTCGGAAGGTTGCACCAAAAAGGCGATGGATTCCGCTACCGAAAACGGGCATCTAGAAGTCGTTCAGTGGCTGCACTGGAACCGATCGGAAGGCTGTACAACGTCTGCAATCGATGGTGCAGCGTCAACACATTTCGGGTATTGTCCTGATCGCGACATTGGGCATGTGTGTTCTAGTGCCGCCTCACTATTTTACGAAAACCAATTTGAGGTTGTCCGGTGGCTCCGCTCAAATCGCTCAGAGGGATGCACGACGAAAGCGATGGATGGTGCTGCAGCCAACGGGAATTTTAACATGCTTCGATGGCTGCACGAGAACATTCACGCAGGCTGCACTAGCGATGCCATGGATCGTGCTGCGCGTCTGGGCCGCCTGGACATCGTCGAGTGGCTTCATTCAAAGCGATTACCAGGGTGCTCGCCCCGTGCCTCGGTTGATGCGGCCGCTAAAGGCAACTTGAATATTCTGAAATGGTTGCATTTAAATCTACCGGAGAGCTTGGCAGCTGAGGCTTTGGAGGATGCCGCGGCTCGGGGGCATTTGCATGTGGTGAAATGGCTACTCAGATCCACCCCGGGAAATCACTTCGAGTTAGCTTTGGCGGGGGCAGTGGCATGGGGGGAATTCGAAGCAGCGCTTTATCTCCAAGCGCATCAGCAGCCACGTAACCCCTCGTCGCCAGACCGGACAGACTCACCATACACTGAACTACATCCCGACATTCAAAATTGGATACTTGAGTACTACGGAGAGGCCGGTCTTCCTGCTTGAAATGAAGCACGTTTGATACAAGTGGTTTTGAGAAAGTGGAGCCATCAATTAGGGCGTCAGACGGATCGTACCCGAGTTTCCATGAGGAAGGAGATGTATTTCAAGCCAGGAAAACTTTATGAATGGATAACGTGCATCGTCGCAAGTATTCACTTCAACTTGGCTTTCGTACGCTGGATCTGCTACACCTCATCAACACGAGCGTACACGGCTTATCTGAATCACCCCTTTCAGTGACGCTGGCCTACTTACACGGCGTGCTGCTTGACGGGGTCCCATGGCGCCGTGGGCATGTACGACTCGGGCGAGGCCAGCCTGGCCACCTGCTCGGGCGTCAACTTGATGTCGGCCGCCTCCACGTTGCTCAGCTGACGCTCCGCGTGCACCGACTTGGGCAGCGTCACGAAGCCGTTGGCGAGGCTGAAGGCCACCAGCACCTGCGCGGGTGAGGCCCCGACCTCCTCGGCGATCGAGACCTTCGCAGCCACGAAAGCCAGCAACGAGAAGCTCGGTCTCGGCTAAATCGACCTCTACCTCCTCCACGCCCCAGGTGACAGTGCCACACGCGCAGAGAGCTGGAAGGCACTCGAGGAGCTGCACGAGCAGGGCATCCTCAAGGACATCGGCGTGTCCAACTTCAGCGAAGCCCACCTGGAGAAGCTCTTCAAGACCGCGCGCGTCAAGCCTGCCGTGAACCAGGTGGAGCTGCACCCGTGGCTCATGCGCTCGTCGATCGTCAAGTTCTGCCAGGAGCACGACCATGGGGATGGTCGCGCCACTGGGCAGGGTCTTGGTGGGGATCGTCGGCGTCATTGCTGTTGTCTTGTAGGCACTTAGTCAGTTGACAGGATATTGAAAAGTGAGGAGCGGGGTAGCCTATTCAGCATCGAAGGTGTTTTACGATCATGTTGACATTAGCCAGAATGTCTTCCGTAAGCAGGCGAGTCTGTGAGTACGTTCACAAATACCGCCTACGTATATCGTGGAGGAGCTGACGTAGACGAATTGTGTCGACGTATATAAATGTGTAGGCAGGAATAATATACTAATTACTTCCGTAAGATTAAAGATCAGTATCTGATAGGCAATTTACCGCACAGCCTACGTGGCGATTTGGTAGTTGGCTTCCAGCCAAGCACGAATCTCTCTCGGATACGATAATCCTAGGTAACTAAAGCGGTCAGCGTCACGCCATATTTCCTGTATCTCCTCGTCGTTCCGCAGCTCTCTTTTCTCCTCGTCGCTCGCTTCGTCGTTGCGCTGTGCGTGCAGGTAAACCATGGTTTCGAAACGCCCAGATGCAATTGCGTTATGCATCGCTCGCATCAGTTCAGCTTGGCTGCAATGGGGAGCAAGGCACTGCACCACTGACAAATCTCGACCAGATGCAGCCAAGCGAATCGCCCTAGCTGCGCAACCTTCATAGCGATTAGCAAGTAGCCAGCGTACAACTTTGAGGTGCCCATTAATAGCAGCCGTATTTAGAGCGTCAGGAGTGCATCTCACTGTATATCGATTGCGCAGCCACTCGAGAACATTCAGGTGGCCTTGGCATGCAGCAACGTCCATCGTTTCCTGAGTGCAAACAGCAATTGCTTTGTCGTAAAGCCAATCCAAAACTTCAATATTTCCAGCAGTTGCCGCTCCAGTCATGGCATTAATTGTACACCCTTCTGAACGATTCACACGCAACCATTCGAGAATTTCAATCTGCATCTCCTTGAAAGACTTGCCGCATTTATCCGGTCGAACAGATGCCGCATCCTTCGCGCGTTTAGCGGCAGTCATGTCCATTGCTGCAGTTGTGCAACCTTCGTAGCGGTTACTATGCAGCCACCGCACCACATCCAAGTGACCATTTGCTGTTGCTTCATCCATCGCCTTCGTTGTGCACCCCTCCGAGCGGTTGGCATGAAGCCACATGACAACCTCTAAGTGTCCATTTGCAGCAGCAGTGTCCATCACCGCCGACGACCACTCCAAATACATGACGCGACGGCAATGCCGTTTTGACATGCGATGCTTCTTTTGGATAGATTGGGTCAGGGAGTGAAATAATTGAATCACACCAAGATGACCATTCTTCGCTGCCGCCAGCACGGCTTCGGATGTATGACCACTATTGCATTCGCTCGGAACCTCGAATAGATTCAGATCAAGACTCGCGTCGCTAAAATCCTGGTGAAGCAGCCAGTTAATCATTTCGAGTCTCCCATTAGAAGCGGCCCAAATCATCGCCAGACACGGAGCTTCAGGTTCAGCGATATAGGCAGGATGGATCAGCAGCCATTGGATCACTTCCATGTGTCCCTTTCCACATGCACTTGACCAGATATCCATGTAGATATCTTCTGGGTCGTCCAGCGCTTCGTTTCTCGCAAGGAGCGTCTGCAAAAGCACCAGGTCGCCAACATCGGCTGCTTGTAAGAGTGCGCCTTCAACAACACGAGCTGACTCACCGTAGCCCCCGTCTAGCAAATACCACAGTATGTCCTTACGAGCTGCCCAATTTGTTTCGTAGGATACTTGACTAGTTTCGCCAAAATCCACAATCCCAAATCCATTTGCAATCACCCACTTGACTAGCTCGAGGTCGTTCGCCTGAATTGCGCCGTCCATCACACCATAGATACTTTCTCTGCTATCTGGGGTACTGGTGCGCTGATCCAGCCACTCCACCAGCTCCCAATGACCTTGTTTTGCTGCTTCCCCCAGGCTTTCATCGTTCCATTGAATCCCGCCGTGGGAATTATCTGCTTCCAGCACTTCCAGCACCCACAAGTGGCCACCTTTTGCTGCCTCCACGACTACATTTTCACCAACTGGACAGCCCGAAAAATGTTTCAGTAACCACTGAATCATGTTTTTATCCGCCCGACGGACTGCCTCAGCGGTAGTAAATCTTGTCGCTCTGCAGTAAAGTGGCTACACAAAATTTAGTCCCGCGGAAACTTCTGGTCCAGACCAAATCCAGTAGCGCCGTCGACTCAGCGCGGCTCACTTCACATGCGTGCGCAAGCGTGATGTCGGGGACAAGGAAGTCGGCGACGCACGTAGCAAAGCTCTCGGGGGCATTGGCGGGCAGCTTGTACCACAGAACGAAGGAGACGAGCGTCAGCTCTCCACATGTCGCCATGGTTCAAAGGTAAGCAATTGTAGTCCAGGACTATATTGTGAAAAGTACAACTAACGTTATAAATGGTCCCTTTCGTTGATCTCTTTCGTGGGTGAGTTGCCAAAGGTTGTGGTTGCGTAAACGATCCCGCATTTGATCAAGGCGTCAGTGCGCTGGGCGTCGATATACCACATCACTTCAAACCGCTTGCAAACGATAGCGTGCTCAATCGCTGAAACGATATTCACTTCATCACGATGCTCCAGCAACCACTTGACGACCCCCAAGTGACCGTTCGCAGCGGCAAGGTTCATCGCTTCAGCCGTGCACCCCTCGGATCGATGCGAATGCAACCATTGCACCACTTTCAGATGGCCTCCTGCAGACACCTCGTCCATTGCTGCCGTTGTGCACCCTTATCGTCGATGTCTGTGCAACCACCGCATAGTACTGAAGTGTCCTCCGCTCGCAGCCCCGTCCATTGCATTGGTAGTGCACTGCCCGTTCCTTTTGCCGTGTAGCCACTTCACAACCCTCAAGTTGCCATTTGCTGCGGCACCGTCCATGGCAGCAACTGAGCAGCCTTCCGAGCCGTTTGAGGATAACCAAGTCATAATTGCCTCTTGGTCTTTGTAGAACGAGCTCGGCGCTTTATCAACGCAGCAGTTGCGCGTTGTACGGTCATGACGCGAAGAAATATGGAAGCATTTTGTAGCTGCGTTGTCCATTGCTGCAGTCGTAGCACCTTCCGAACGGTTCCAGTGCAGCCAGCGCACGACTTCCGAGTGCAAGTTACCAGCTGCTTTATCCATGGCAGCAGCAGCACAGCGCACGCCTTCCGAGTGCAAGTTACCAGCTGCTTTATCCATGGCAGCAGCAGTGCATCCCTCCGAGCGATATGCGTGGAGCCACTTGACAACGTCCAGATGACCATTAGCGGCCGCAATATCCATCGCTGCACTCGTGCACCGTGGATATCGTTCTCGTACACAGAGCCTTTTGGTGCTTCTCCCCTCCGGCTGATCTTATGTTTCAGCACCTACGCGATGCAGAAATTTCAGGATCTCAGTGTGTCCATTTCCTGCTGCGCAATCCATAGCTGTATTTCCATGACACTCGAAAAGGATACCAGTCGGATCATGTGAGTAGTTATCCCACAACCATTGAACGATGACTAGCCTTCCGTTTGTTGCGGTCATCATGGCCAAAGCCGGACCATTCATCTCGCCCTGGTAATATTCGACATTCGCGAGTAGCCACTGCACCATCTTCAAATGATTTTGATCGCACGCATTGTACAAAATCGTCTCGTAGACGTCTCTATCATCCGGGTACTCCTCGTTTCTGGCAAGAAGCCACTCCAACATGCCCTGATCACCGAGTCGTGCCGCTTCCGATAGCGAGAACTCTGCAATGTATGCGGCGTCTCCACGTCCCATTTCCAGAAGGTTGCGAATTATTTTAACTCGCGACATCCAGTTCTCTTCGGAGCTATGACGAACGTCGATAGTTGCTAAAGGGAAGCCACTGGCACGCACCCACTTGACCCTTTCCAGATCGTTCTGTGAAACTGCAATATCCAACAACTCATAATTGTCGCTCCAATTCAAATCGATCGTGAGGTGGGCCTGTAACCACTTGACGATATCCCAGCGGTCAACACGAGCTGCTTCAGGTAAGCTCTTCTCGCACCACTCAATGCCGCCATGAGATCTGTCGGCTTCCAGTAGCTGGAGCGTCCACAAATGACCCCCTTTAGCAGCCTCTCGCACCACTTCCCCGGATACGGGGCAACGCGAAAAATGGGCTAAAAGCCAGTGGATCATGGCCAGATCAGCTCGTCTTACAGCCTGCACCAACGCCTGAGAGAATTCCCAGCGGTAATACTCTTGGTTGGAATTGAGAAGACTGGCGATGGTCGACTTGAACCCGCGACGGCTTCTGGTCCAGACCAAATCCAGCAGTTCCAGTGACCCGACCCGACTCAACTCGCAAGCGCGGGCCACGGACATGTCAGCGATCAGGAAGTCGGAGACAACGGCGGTTAAAGTTTCTGGTGCGTTTGTTGGTAGCTTGTGGCGCAGGACGAAGCGCGAGAGCGTCAGCTCCACCATGGACGTCATCGTCAATGATTCTCTTTACGGCGAAAAAGATCTTCGCAAAAATGTGTTTTGCTTTAACCAATCGGATAAACAGGGATGGTAAACTTTTTTATTCATTTTTCTTATACCTTCTTTTATTGAAAAAGAAGATTGGTGCCAGAGGCCGATTTTCTTCTTTTTTCTTATATTGTATCCAATTTTCAAGCTGTTAGTTGATGCGAGGGGAAAGGTCCAAAACGAGCTAGAAAGGAGCAGTAACTACGGTATAATACTTCGAAGTAGTTCATTTGTTGTCTATTCACAGAATTTTGAAGTCATAGGTCACTCCAACAAAGTGACGACTACATTCTTGTCATCCCTTCATGTCCAATATATTCAACAAAATGCCTGCTATATTTTCAGGTATGCTGCCGACTCTGTCTGCGTCGTATATCTATATCCAACGCGAAGGCAACAGTATTACGATCCAGGTCCGGTCGAACCGGTGTGCGCGCTTTTGTTCACTGCAAGGGCACGGCTACGTATAGTCGACTACAATACCGACAGCAGCATATTGTCTAGTTACGATAGAATGAAAAGATTCACTGCCCAACTCTCGATTTAATATCATAGAATGCTACATTTTTACAAGAAACTGGCGGTGAACATTTTATAAGCCCCGTTCTCCTTCCTCAGTCGTCCGTCCCTCAACTCAACTTTTGGAGGACAACAGTCTTGCACGTTGCTCTGCGCTCTCGCAGCCCCAAGTGCACAGGGCTGTATCCGACAAAATGTATGCTTTGTTTTGCTTGATGCAGCGGTCAGGGCGGTTCAGCGGAAGGATTTAGGTGTAAGGGAGGGAAGTCCCCGTGGTGTGCATCGGTATCCGCGGTGAAAGAGAAGTTTTCCGACGCAACTGCCGCAGCAGAAGAAGACCGTTGCCTCAGCCAGTGAAGAACTCACAACTTTTGGTGAAAGATAGATAACCTTCAGAAAAATATCTCTGCCGAAAATGGCTACATCGAGACCACTGTCATTCATATATCTGTTATACATTCTTTACTTTAGGTTTCTAGTGTACGCCTACATAGTGATGCATTTCATCGAATTGAAGCGCGCGATCAAGATAGAGGTCTCGGACTCGGCCGCGTGTGGACGATGCTGCAGCTCACGAGCAGCTTGGTGCGGCGCTCTATCGAGCAGGAGGAGGCCCAATGCGCGTACAACCGCCACGTGCTGACCGAGGTGCGCTGCCGTCTCTATCGAGAAATGAGGGGCCAGGATATCCGAGAAATGACACCCTTTCTGCCTTTCCCCCTATTGCTGTAGGTGCAGAGCGTGCTGGACGAGATGGTGTACGACGTGGAGAGCTGCGAGCACGAGTGCGAGCTTGTGAGGCTCAGGCAACAGCTGGCCACGGCGGAGAGCTCGCTGCAGGAGTTTCAGGAGCGCGAGAGCGAGTTGATACACGAGAGACAGCAGGTCCGACGTTGGCGAAGGAAGAGGAGGAGGATACGCCTGGATACAATTGGACTGACAATAACTGTTGGTGTATTTTATTGTATTATTGGGCAGGCGTATGAGTATGCCGTGAAGGTGGAGCAGGAGGGGAGGACAATTATGGGCAAGCTGAATGAGCACCTGTCGGTTGTGGTGGCGGAGCTCGCCAAGAAGGAAGTGTACGTGGCTACACACAGATTTTTGCTTGTTTTGGTGCATGGACTTAAGAGGTCGATATGTTTTGTGATTTTATTGTGCCATAGGATAGAGAAGGAGCTGCACCAAGCGAAAGAGCAGTTGAAGTTGACGGGCCAATTGTCGAAGGAGCTGGCCAGTGCACAACGTGAGATCCGGGAGCTGCGGCGAGCAAATGATATCCAGTACATTCTTAGGAAGAACAGCTCGGTGCCTTCAAAGCTGGCGTCGGATCCGAGGATACCGCCACGAGTCAGTCATGCTCCTGTGCGGGCGATGTCAGTGCCGGAAGGACTGACGGCAGCAAAGAAGCAGGAGGAGGAGAACGTTTTCTCGCAGCTTCCAGACAAGATCATGCTCAAATTGTTTTCGTTTTTGGATGAAGACAGCATGATCGCGATGAGCGTCACGAATAAAGTTCTCGTCAGAAGAGTGAACGTGATGTTCGGTGTGACGACGCCAAGTACGCTGGCAAATGCCACTCCCCACGGTGCACCCAAGCAACGGCCGCCGTCGCCTCCTACGCGGAAGCAATCAAAGTCTCGCGGGCTCAGCTTCATCGGCTCCTCGGAAAATAACAAGGTAAATGACGCTGAAAAGTTGCGTTGCCTAGTGCTTGAACTAACGTTGTGCGTTGCTTCGCGATGCAGCTCTCGAAGGTGGATGCGATCGTGAAATCCTTAAAACCTGACCAGATCAAGCTCTTCCACGACATGTCAACTAGAGTAAAGACATTAGAGGTAAGTGACCGCTATATTATCCCTAGATTACTGGTGAGAATAACACATGCCTCGCCTGGTCCGCACTTTTGGTAGGCGCATCTGGCTCAAGTGCAGACCGAAAAGGAAGACGTGGCAGCTCGACTGTACAGTGCCGAGAGCGTGCGCGACTTCCTGATGGAGAAACTGAAGGACCTGGAAGACACGCTCGCCAACAGCATGACGACTACTGCGAAGAAGGACGAGCAGGCCGGACTGGACCGCGAGATCATCGGCTTCTTGGACGCCAAGACGCAGGAGTACGAAACGGCGCTGCAGGAGTACGCGCACCAGAACAACGGCCTTCGCATGGAGATCGCCCAACTTCAAGAAGAGCACGCATCCAAGACAAGGGTAGGTGTCCCACTACGGCAGATGCGCGACGGTGCTCACTGTACTAACCACTATCTAACCTCGTACTGTGCAGATCATCCAAGACATGGTGGAGCTGCTGACCGAGGAGAAGAAGGAGCTCGAGCTGCAGATCCGGTCCCAACGCAAGATCCTGGTGCGCGAAGTCAAAGCGCTCCGATCCCAGAACCAGCAGCTCGGCAGCGAGAAGGACCACTACTTCACGCAGCTGCGGCAGCTCAAACACGCGCTGCAACACCTCGACGAGCTCAGTTAATCGATCAAAAGTTGAAGTTACCCCCCAAAGTGATGTACAGCACACATTCCGCATGTTCGAGAAGGTTGGTGTGCGTTACGCAATCACCACTTCACCTCCGATCCGCACAACCGCTTCAGCAGTGCCTCGCTCCTCCAGGTCCTCATGGCGACGGCGGCGCTGCGTCGGTTCGCGATGGCGCGGCCTCGCGCCCACGTGGCCGCAGCCAACCTGCTGCGCTTCCAGCGTGCTCCGGCCTTCGCAGCTGCGCGCGTGAGCTCCAACCCGTTCGCTCGCGGTCCGCACGTGCTGCGCGCCTGGTACTCGACCGACGGCAAAGACGACGACGAAGACAAGAAGAAGAAGGAGGACGAGAAGGAGAAGAACAAAGAAGAGAAGAAACTAAAAGAAGAAGATGATGGAGAAGACGGTGGTGTTGAAGTCGTGATCGACAACGGCCTGGCCACCGTCGGGGAGGGCGACAACGCCCCCACGTACCCGCACGTGCTGGCCATGCCCGCCCACCGCCGCCCGTTCTTCCCCGGGGTGGTGCTGCCCATGACGATCACGAACCCGGAGGTGACCAAAGCTCTCATGTCGCTCAAGGAGAGCGGCCAGAAGTACGTCGGCGTCTTCTTGAAGAAGTCGAGCGGAGACCCTCTGAAATCCGGCGGGGGCGAAGACCTGGTCAAGAACTTGAGCGAGATCCACCACGTGGGTAGCTTCGCGCGCATCGACAACATGCTGCCCTTTGACGCCAACTCGGTGCAGGTTCTGATGGTGTCGCAGCGCCGCATCGCCATTGACGACATCCGCGACGAAGGACCCCCTCTTAGGGTGAACATCAGCAACCTGGACAACCCGCCCTTTGACCCCAAGAGCAAGCTCATCAGAGCCTACTCGAACGAGATCGTCGCCACGTTGAGGGAGATTGTCAAGATGAACCCGCTCTTCAAGGACCACATGCAGTACTTCTCGCAGCGGGTCGACATCCACAACCCGTACAAGCTGGCGGACTTTGCGGCGTCCGTGACGTCGGCGGATGGGGAGGAGCTGCAGCAGGTGATGGAGGAGATGTCGTGCGAGGCCAGGCTGAAGAAGGCGCTGGAGCTGATCACCAAGGAGTTGGAGCTCAGCAAGGTACAGCAGACCATCAAGGAGCAGGTGGAGGAAAAGGTGTCCAAGAACCAGCGCAATTATCTGTTGATGGAGCAGCTCAAGGCCATTAAGAAGGAGCTCGGCATGGAGAAGGACGACAAGGATGCCATGATCACCAAGTACCGCGAGCGGCTGGCTCAGTTCGCGCCCGGCAGCATCCCTGCTAGCGTAAACGAGGTGGTGGAGGACGAGCTGAACAAGATGTCGATGCTGGAGAAGAACTCGTCCGAGTTCAACGTCACGCGCAACTACCTGGACTGGCTCACCCAGCTGCCGTGGGGCAAGGCTACGGAAGAGAATTTTGACCTCGCCAAGGCGAAGCAGATTCTGGACGAGGACCACTATGGTCTGAAGGACATCAAGGAGCGTATTTTGGAGTTCATCGCGGTCTCCAAGCTCAAGGGTGATGTTCAGGGTAAGATTATTTGCTTCGTTGGCCCCCCTGGTGTGGGTAAGACGAGTATTGGCAAGTCTATCGCTAGATCGCTGAACCGTGAGTTCTACCGATTCTCGGTTGGTGGACTCAGCGACGTGGCGGAGATCAAGGGCCACCGCCGCACGTACGTTGGTGCGATGCCCGGCAAGATTATCCAGTGCTTGAAGTCGACTCAGAGCTCGAACCCTCTGATTTTGATCGATGAAATCGACAAGCTTGGACGTGGATACCAGGGAGACCCGGCGTCCGCTCTGCTGGAGCTTCTGGACCCCTCGCAGAATAGCGGCTTCGTGGACCACTATATGGATGTTCCTGTGGATCTTTCTCGCGTCCTCTTCATCTGTACCTCCAACGTGACGGACACTATCCCCGGACCGTTGCTTGATCGTATGGAAGTCTTGCGTTTGTCGGGTTACGACTCGCCGGAGAAGCTGGCGATCGCTAAGGAGTACCTTGTTCCTAAAGCCCGGGAGAAGACCGGCCTCCACAACTCGGAGACGACGCCCGAGTCTCTGGGCTTGACGGACGAGGCTATTCTGACCCTCGTGAAGCAGTACTGCCGTGAGAGTGGTGTTCGTAACTTGGAGAAGCACGTGGAGAAGGTCTTCCGGAAGGTTGCACTCGAGGTTGTTGAAGACATCGAGAGCGCCAAGGCTGCGGAAGAGGCGCAGGAGGCTGGTGAATCGACTGATGTGACGAAGGACACGAAGGGAGTGTCGGAAGACAAGGATCGTTTCCTGATCACCCCCGAAAAGCTGTCGAAATACGTCGGCAAGCCGGTCTTCACATCGTACGTAACTTTCGTATGGATATTGCTACCTGTCCAGCAATACTAACGCTTTATTATGGTTTGTCATTGCAGTGATCGCATGTTCGACAAGCAATTCCCGGGTGTTGTCATGGGACTTGCTTGGACGGCTATGGGAGGAGCTTCACTGTACATCGAGACCACCAAGGTGTACACGAAGGGCCATCGCTCGGGTCTGATCACCACGGGCCAGATGGGATCTGTCATGGAGGAGAGTACCAAGATCGCACACACGTATGCTCGAAGCAAGATGCACGCCATTGACCCGGAGAACAAATTCTTCGAGGAGAACGAGGTGCACCTGCACGTTCCGGAGGGCGCCACACCGAAGGACGGCCCCTCAGCTGGCTGCACTATGGTGACTGCTCTGCTCTCGCTCGCTATGAACAAGTACGTGGCATTGTGCTCTGTGATAGTGCTCCTATACACTTGTCTAAACAATTCTGTTTGTTTTGTTACAGGACGGTGAAGCCGGACCTCGCTATGACGGGAGAGCTGTCGCTTGTGGGCAAGGTGCTGCCGGTGGGCGGCATAAAGGAGAAAACCATCGCTGCCAAGCGGTCAGGCGTCAAGACGCTCATCCTCCCGCTCGGCAACAAGCGTGACTTCGACGAGCTGGAAGACTACCTGCGCCAGGACCTGGACGTGCACTTTGCCGACTACTACGACGACGTGTATAAGGTTGCCTTCGAGCAGGAGTAGACGATATCCAATCGATAGGCGGTCAGCTTTATACTGGGTTAAATATCAAAGCGTGACCAGCGTGTGACCTGAACAAAAACTTCAACTCGGAAGACTATTTGCTGATTAAGTCATTTGGAATCTCACTTATGATTGGCTCTCCTCATTGGGAGCGGCGTTTGGGACCTGGTCGATTAATGTACCTCGTTTGGATAGACGCTCGAGGATTGTGAGGGGACGCGAGGCACGTCGCGTGAGACTTCCCCAGCTGCAGACACGGATAATGGTGCTCCGCATGCTCTGGAATATCGGCTCGGGACTCGTGTATGGGGCCCTCCACAAGAGCCCTCGTGCTGGGTTGGCGGGGCTGCACTACCCAGCGGTGTGGAGAGCTCGCTCTGGATTCCTCGACTGTGACGTGAACCTGCACCTCAACAACTCGTCGTACCTCTTCAGCATGGAGCTCGCTCGCTGGCACTTCACAGCGTAGGCAGCTCGATATCGCAGAACTACCTTGCTATCGTTATAAAGTCTAACCTCAACATTCACAGGTCGAACGGCGTGTTGTGGCACGCTATCAAGCACCGGCGGATGTTCCTCGCGGCGTCTCAAGCCATTCGCTTCCGTCACGCCATCCCGCCGTTCCACGCGTACGAGATCAAGACGCAGATGGTGTACTGGAACGGCCCGTGGATCTACTTCCTGCACCAGTTCCAAGACCCCACCAGCGGCAAGCAGTTCGCCGAGGGTTTGTGTCGTGTCATGGTCAAGCAGCGCGGAGAGGGCGTGGATTTCGAGAAGATGATAGCAGAAGTGTACGACGGACCGATCCCAGCGCAACCTGCTCAAGTTCCCGACGTGGTCAAGGGGTTTCTTGAGTGGGATGCGGCTAGTCGCTCCAGTATGGAAGCGTCCCATGAGCTGGAGAAGGCCAAGATCAGTAAAAGCCCACCGCCAGCTACACCCGAAGGACTCGCAGCTCGCGTTTGGATGGAGATGCAGCGTTCTATGAACCGACCCTAGTCGTCTCAACGAGATGTAGCTGGAACATCTTGGGCATGGCGGTTAGATAGATACACTACAGTAGTTTTCACAAAAGCAATCTCTCAATAATTTGAAGTTCTTGACGGGTTTAGACCCTTTCTCTCTTTTTCTCTTTTCCCCCTTCAATTCCAAACCCTCTCTGCCAGCGCACAAGGCATCGTTCAGTATCCCCATGGGGTCACCACTACTGCAGCTCACCGCTGTGAGCTTCATACTTCGCGAGGCCGTCGGAGTCAAAGCCCCTGAGTTCGTTGCTGGCATCATATCCGACTTTCTCGTGGAGGATATGTCGTTGTCACATGCGTGCGAGCTCTGCCCCTTTGGATCGCTCAACCTCGTGAATTTAGTCTGGACCCGAAGTTTCGAGCCCACGACGACTTGGTGCCGGATCTGCAGATGGTCAATTGGATCCTGAGTCACTTTTCGGGATGCTCAGTGGCCACAAGCGCAGTGTATGAAGCTGTTCAGGGTGGGCACTTGTGGGCTCTGCAAGTGCTGAGAACTTAGGTCTCGCTGAACCAAATTCAATGGGCTGACAAGAATATGTTTATAAACAAAGCAGCGGAATATCGTCACTGGGGCCTCGTGAGGTGGCTGTGCAAGCGAGTGGGTATCTCTGCCGAGGCAAAAGAGCGGAATTCTTTCATAGTTCATTGGGATCTGGCACAAAACAACTTTGAAGAACTGAAGTGGGCGACCAGCTACGGGTTTCGGGCGGTAATGGTTGGCTCCCCACCCTGTTCCGAAGATGATTGGCGAGACCAAGGGCGGAGTGAGATGATGCGCTACCTGTTTGACGGGGGATATGGCGATCCAGCATCGCTGACTGGGCGGACCGTAATACTTGCCGCAAAGTTTGGGGATATTCCGTACTTGGAGTGGCTGAACGAAAACTACAAGACTTATATTGATGGTCTCTGGGGCACGTTAACGTTGGATGCCTTTAAAAAGGCTGCTGAGCATGGACACGTGGATGTTATGGAGTGGATGGTGACTCACCTGGATGAGCTAGTGCAACCCCGAGGCCGAACTGAGGCCATGTTTGCAGCCGCTGAGAAGGGCAAACTGAACGTGGTCAAGTGGCTGTACGAGAAGTACTCAGACAAGTCGGATGTTGTACTCTTTCCAGAGTATGATGAAATGGCTTATAACTACCCTGAGGAAGACAGTGAGTCATTTTACTATGGCCTAGACAAATTCATTCCAGTCACTGTGATGGACGCGGCGGCTCAAAATGGTCACGTGGAGGTACTTCAATTCCCGGACGAAGCGCAAAAGTCTGCCAATGCTGGTGGAAGAGCCCATAAGAAGAGAAGAATATCCGACTGGAGAGTGCGAATTCAGTATCCAAGATGTACAACAGTGGCAATGGACGCGGCTGCAGAAGCTGGACAGCTCGAGACTGTTAAATGGCTGTACTTCAACCGAACCGAAGGCTGCACTATTGCTGCGATGGATCGCGCTGCCGCTTGCGGTCATTTTGAAGTGGTGAAGTGGCTGCATTTCAATCGCTCGGAAGGATGCACAACCTTCGCCATTGACAGGGTCGGTCAAAGACAATTCGACTTGCAAATACGCTCTAGTAGGGTCGCGTGCAAGACTCCTGCTGCCGTTCACGATAACCAACTCGCGATTGTGCAATGGCTGCACGCCAACCGCTCGGAGGGTTTTACGCGGCTGGCAGTGGAGGGGTTAGCGCTCACTGGAAACCTGAAGTTGCTACAGTGGCTTCACGACAATTCAAATGCGCGCTGCTCGAAACGAGCAATGGACTTCGTAGCTGGGTCGGGTGATCTGGGGGTCGTGAAATGGCTACATGTACATGGTACTGAGGGCTGCACATAAGCGGCAATGGATGGGGCTGCTAAGAAGGGCCGCACGGATGTTGTGAAATGGCTGCATGAAAATCGCAAAGAGGGCAACACGACTCGAGCCATGGATGGCGCAGCACGAGTTGGAAACTGCAGCAACTCTAGCTAGCAGCAGCAGCATCACAATGCGGGCTGGTCTCTGGCATTGAGCTGCGAGTAGCAACCAGCTGTCATATCGACAATGCTGTTGATACTGAAGATCTGCATAACGACAACTAGGTTGACGCACACAGTATAACGACAATCGTGTTGACACACATGGTGTCCACTCAAGTGCCTGGGGTGGCCCTGCCGCCTCCGCCCCCAGCCACTAGTAGACTTTAAGGATAGAGTCTCACTTTGCAATTTACCTTGCTTAATAAACTACGGCCAATTATCTGGGAGCATCGCCGGCTCCCCCCGCAGTGTCTTCGTTTCGTGACGACACCACAGAAACTTAAAATTGGTAAAGTGGCCCGTGCTGAGGGCTGCTCGCGATTCATACAGTATTACGCGACGCACGGTCAGCAGTTTGAGGTGGCGGAGTATTTGCTGGACAACAATTTGATACATGAATAACGTTGCGCCGTACATGTGTAGGGTAGTTAACCAATGTTTGTGGCATGATGACGAGCGACGTGTTGATGTACTGCTTTGGTTTGAAAAACCTATGACTAACCAATCAATCATAATGATTAGAAAGCATGCATAACGGTTTTGGTTATGCCTAATTGAAATCGGTACATTGGAAATGTTGAATTAGGCATTACGGTACGCAGATCAATAGTGTAATGTTGTGCCTGCGCTTCGACTACTTGGTGCTGGCCATGGGGAGCAGCTACTCGGTGCCCATCAAGCCAAACAGCCAGGACTTCGCTCGCTCGGCCACCGAGGCGAAGCTGCGGGAGGTTCGTGGCCACATCGAGAGAGCAAACAGCATCGTCGTGGTGGGCGGAGGCTCCGTGGGCTGCGAAGTGGCGGCGGAGATCAAGGTTCGACACCCGAGCAAGACGGTGACGATCATCGACGCGAACTTGAGACTCATCTCCAGCAGCAACCTGCGCGACAAGTTCTACGACAAGTTGAACGCGTCGCTGGCTCAACTCGGCGTAAAAGTCATCTTGGGCGAGCGACTGACTGAGCGTCTGACCGGCAACGGCTTCGAGAGACGCACGCTGCAGACGATCCAAGGCACCACGATTGAGGCGAACATTCAGCTGCTGTGCGGCGGATTCCACCCAGTGGCTGACCTCGTTCAGGACATGGACCCCTCTCTGGTGACGGGCAGGGGGAAGGTCAAGGTGAACACTCAGCTGCAGCTCGAAGGCGTCAGGTACGCAAACATCTTCGCTCTTGGCGATGTCTGCAATCACCCGACTCCAAAGATGGCCTTCATCGCTGGAGAGCAGGGAAAGTTCCTAGCTGGCGAGCTCACTGCTGTGATCCGCAAGAAGCAGCCTGTGTTTGCCAACCCGTTTGTTGGAGCCACCACGGAAATGATGGTCTTGCCCTTGGGTCCATCCGGAGGCGTCTTGCAGCTGCCGATGTTCGGTGGAGTTGTGCTCGGGGACTGGTTCACCAAGACGATCAAGTCCAAAGACTTCTTCGCCGGCCAAATCTGGACCAGTGATGGAAGGTATGGATCTTGGACACGAAGCTCGGACGAAGCGGAGGGAGGGACGTCGCAGACGGCGGGACCGGAGCGAAGGCACTTGAGGGGTAGAATGAAGATTCGAAAGTGATTGAATTGTTGGAGCTTACACCCTACTGTTATAGACACGCGACCCTGCGTCCTATCACCTAGTGCATCTAATCAACCATCACTCACTGGTGTTCATCCAATCATCCTACTCGTCTAATCATCGGTGGCGTAAACAACTTACCGTAATCACCATAATCAACGTGGGTTCGGATTGGACCGGTTCGGGTTAACCGGTTAATGGGTACAACTGGTACACAGTACCCAAGACCAGCAACCCTCAATACGCCCCCTCAATGCGAAGTCCCACGAATGATGAGAGCCACCGTCAGATCCGCGTGGCGTGGTCCCGCAAGCGCCTTCGTCATGATGTCCGCTAGCATCACAGAAGTCTCGCAGTACTGGAGCTTGACTTCGCCGCGCTTGACTTCATCGCGGATGTGGTGGTACTTGATGTCGATGTGCTTGGCGCGACCGTGGTTCACTGGGTTCTTCGTCATCTTGATGCACGACTGGTTGTCTTCGCGGATCATGAGTTCGGGTCCAGTCTCATTAGCGGCCGTCAGAATCTCGCATAGCAGGCGATGAATCCACTTGCCTTCTTGGATAGCCAGACTGAGCGCGATGTACTCCGCTTCGCTCGTGGACAGCGACACACTTGATTGCTTCTTGCTTCCCCAGCTCACAGGCGCACTCATGAGCATGAACGTGTAGCCTGAAGTGGACTTGCGGTCGGCGAGGTCGCCGGCCCAGTCCGCGTCCGAGTAGCCACGAAAGTCGATCTTGTCGCCCGGCTTGAAGCAGATCCCATGCGTCTTGGTGCCTTGCAGGTAGCGAAAAAAACGCTTGACCGCAACCCAGTGTTCCTCTTGGGGGTTCTCCATGAAGCGCGATACATAGCCAACGGCGTACGCGATGTCTGGGCGCGTGGCGGTCATCAGGTGCATCTGAGCACCAACAGCTTCGCGAAACGGAGCGTTCACCTTGGTCGCCGCGTCGCTTGGAACCAGTCGAGTGCTCATGTCCACCGGACTCACCACGGCCTTGCACTCGTCCATGGCGAAGCGCTTCAGGATGTCGTCCACGTATCGCCGCTGGCACATGGTCACGCTGCCGTCCGGGCCGTCCACAAACTCGATCCCAAGAACAAACGCGCACTTGCCGCTGTCGGTCATCTCGAAGCGCGTCTTCAGGTCGGTCTTCGTGCGTGCGATCAGCTCGGGCGAACTCCCGGTAATCAGTACGTCATCCACGTACACCAGTACAAGCACGCAGTGACCGTCCACCACCTTGATGTAGAGGCACGGATCGAAGGCCGACACTTGGAAGCCGATGGAGCACACGAACTCGTCGAAGGTCTCGTTCCACACTCGCGAAGCTTGCTTGAGACCGTAGATGGCCTTCACCAGTTCCAGGCAGTCGAAGTCACCACGCCTTCCGGAACCACGCAGAAGACCACCTCCTTCATTATCCCGTACAGGAATGCTGTCACCACGTCGAGTTGGCCGAGGGGCCAGCCAAAATACTTAGCAATCGCGATCACCATGCGCAGTGTCACATACTTGACCACGGGCGAGAACGTCTCGGTGTAGTCAATGCCGTACTTCTGCTTGAAGCCCTTGGCCACGAGGCGCGCCTTTTGCTTCTCGATCGAGCCGTCCGCGTTGCGCTTGATCTTGAACACCCACTTGGTATCGATGGCGCGTTGTCCGTTAGGCAACTTGGCAGCTCGAAACACACCACGCAGTCGCATCGACTTGAGCTCCGCGCGGATCGCTTTGCGCCAGTGCACTTGATCAGGACCGTTCACAGATTCTTGGAACGTCGTCGGCTCCGATAGACAGGCTGCTGCTTCCACAGCGTTGGCACTGGCACGCCAAAACACTGGGGGCGTCGAGTCGTTGATGGAAGGTATGGATCTTGGACACGAAGCTCGGACGAAGCGGAGGGAGGGACGTCGCAGACGGCGGGACCGGAGCGAAGGCACTTGAGGGGTAGAATGAAGATTCGAAAGTGATTGAATTGTTGGAGCTTACACCCTACTGTTATAGACACGCGACCCTGCGTCCTATCACCTAGTGCATCTAATCAACCATCACTCACCGGTGTTCATCCAATCATCCTACTCGTCTAATCATCGGTGGCGTAAACAACTTACCGTAATCACCATAATCAACGTGGGTTCGGATTGGACCGGTTCGGGTTAACCGGTTAATGGGTACAACTGGTACACAGTACCCAAGACCAGCAACCCTCAATACGCCCCCTCAATGCGAAGTCCCACGAATGCCGAGAGCCACCGTCAGATCCGTGTGGCGTGGTCCCGCAAGCGCCTTCGTCATGATGTCCGCTAGCATCACAGAAGTCTCGCAGTACTGGAGCTTGACTTCGCCGCGCTTGACTTCATCGCGGATGTGGTGGTACTTGATGTCGATGTGCTTGGCGCGACCGTGGTTCACTGGGTTCTTCGTCATCTTGATGCACGACTGGTTGTCTTCGCGGATCATGAGTTCGGGTCCAGTCTCATTAGCGGCCGCCAGAATCTCGCATAGCAGGCGATGAATCCACTTGCCTTCTTGGATAGCCAGACTGAGCGCGATGTACTCCGCTTCGCTCGTGGACAGCGACACACTTGATTGCTTCTTGCTTCCCCAGCTCACAGACGCACTCATGAGCATGAACGTGTAGCCTGAAGTGGACTTGCGGTCGGCGAGGTCGCCGGCCCAGTCCGCGTCCGAGTAGCCACGAAAGTCGATCTTGTCGCCCGGCTTGAAGCAGATCCCATGCGTCTTGGTGCCTTGCAGGTAGCGAAAGATACGCTTGACCGCAACCCAGTGTTCCTCTTGGGGGTTCTCCATGAAGCGCGATACATAGCCAACGGCGTACGCGATGTCTGGGCGCGTGGCGGTCATCAGGTGCATCAGAGCACCAACAGCTTCGCGAAACGGAGCGTTCACCTTGGTCGCCGCGTCGCTTGGAACCAGTCGAGTGCTCATGTCCACCGGACTCACCACGGCCTTGCACTCGTCCATGGCGAAGCGCTTCAGGATGTCGTCCACGTATCGCCGCTGGCACATGGTCACGCTGCCGTCCGGGCCGTCCACAAACTCGATCCCAAGAACAAACGCGCACTTGCCGCTGTCGGTCATCTCGAAGCGCGTCTTCAGGTCGGTCTTCGTGCGTGCGATCAGCTCGGGCGAACTCCCGGTAATCAGTACGTCATCCACGTACACCAGTACAAGCACGCAGTGACCGTCCACCACCTTGATGTAGAGGCACGGATCGAAGGCCGACACTTGGAAGCCGATGGAGCACACGAACTCGTCGAAGGTCTCGTTCCACACTCGCGAAGCTTGCTTGAGACCGTAGATGGCTTTCACCAGTTCCAGGCAGTCGAAGTCACCATCCAGTTCGACGCCTTCCGGAACCACGCAGAAGACCACCTCCTTCATTATCCCGCACAGGAATGCTGTCACCACGTCGAGTTGGTCGAGGGGCCAGCCAAAATACTTAGCAATCGCGATCACCATGCGCAGCGTCACATACTTGACCACGGGCGAGAACGTCTCGGTGTAGTCAATGCCGTACTTCTGCTTGAAGCCCTTGGCCACGAGGCGCGCCTTGTACTTCTCGATCGAGCCGTCCGCTTTGCGCTTGATCTTGAACACCCACTTGGTATCGATGGCGCGTTGTCCGTTAGGCAACTTGGCAGCTCGAAACACACCACGCAGTCGCATCGACTTGAGCTCCGCGCGGATCGCTTTGCGCCAGTGCACTTGATCAGGACCGTTCACAGCCTCTTGGAACGTCGTCGGCTCCGATAGATCGGCTGCTGCTTCCACAGCGTTGGCACTGGCACGCCAAAACACTGGAGGCGTCGAGTCGTCGTCTTCATCTTGGTCCCCAGACTTTTCTTCTTCGTCGGGGTCGGCTCGGCGCGAGGAGGATACGTCCGGCGCACTTGCTTCTTCTAAGCCAGCTCGGTGGCGAACGGGGCGCGATCTTCTGGCAGTGTTGTCGTCGCCACTCGGTCGGTACTTGCGCTTCCCCGCCTGCTTGAAGCTCGTTTGGCGCGGTCCATCGTTGTCGTCCAGGTCCAGCGCGTCCAAGTCCAGCACAGCATCATCGACGTCTTCATCCGAAGTATGCGTCGAAAGTCCAAAGGTCGACTCATCGAAGTTGACATCGCGACTGATAACCACCTGCCCCGCCTCGATGTCATAAACTCGATACGCCTTGGATAGCCGAGGAACAGCCCGGCGCGAGCCTTGGGGTCCCACTTGCGCCGTCTTTCCTTCGGCGTCAGGATGTACGTCTGGCATCCGAACACACGCATGTGCTTCACACTCGGCTTGGACTTGTAAACGATCTCGAACGGAGTCTTGTGTTCGATCTTGGGTGATGGCAGACGATTCTTTACGTAGATGGCTGTCATGGCCGCCTCAGCCCAGAAGCTCTTGTCCAGCTTGGCATGATGCAGCATGCTGCGGCCAATCGTGACGATGGTCCGGATGGCGCGTTCTGCCGTGCCGTTGGTCTGGTGCGCGGACGGAACCGTGGTTTGCTGCTCGATGCCTTCGACTTCGTAGAAGGCCTTGAGCGAGTTGGTCGCGAACTCACGGGCTCCGTCGTGCCGCACAAACTTGACCTTCTTGCCGAACTGCGTCTGCACCTTCGTGACGTACATCTTGATGCAGTCCTCGCTCTCCGACTTGGCACGCAGGCAGAACCCCTTCATGCATCCGCTGGCTTCGTCCACGATCAGCAGCAGATACTTGCTGCCACCCAGTGACTCTTCTTCCATGGGGCCGCACACGTCGAAGTGGAGCAGCTCGAACGTGTCGTAGTGACGCTTGTCACGGTTGCTTGGGAACGGCTTCTGGACCATTTTCCCTTGCTGGCAGCCGCGACACACGCTTGGTCCACTCGACTTGGAAGGTGCCTTCGCGTCCTTGATCATGTTGTTGTCGACCATCTTGCGAAGCACCTCCACCGGAGCGTGACCCATACGCGCGTGTAAGTCGACCGTCTTCCCACTGGTCGCCGCATTCGCCGATCGCTGAGGCGTCTGGAGCCAGTAGAGTCCATCCACGAGGTTTGCCGTC